GGGAAAGAAACAAAATTAGGAAGCCCCTATATTTATAGATGAAATTAGAAAATATTCATATGAATAAGATTGTTTCTAAACACATTCTGTAGCTTTTATAGGTGGAATAAAGAGAACAACAGTTATTACATAAGCAAACTTGCAAACATGAAAGACTATTCTTCCGGGATTTTATTTTATTTTTTTAATGTATTTGTAAAGCACTTCGCAATTTAAGGTGCTTCATAACAGAGAAAACAGTACAATATGGGATGTAAAAATAAAAATAATTTTGCTAGATTAACTTATTGAAACATGCCCGCATGCAGGATATATACACATATATGTATATTGAACTCCTGTGTGTATGTGACCCTCCAAACACGCCAAGCTGGTCACCTACCAGATATCCAGTTGCACTGGCACAGGGGAGAGAAGACTGAGTATTGTTGCAAACATAACCACTGCTTTGCACAGTGGCAAGACAAAGGCAAGATGGACCAATACCTTTTTCTTGGCCTGTAGCAGCTCCTGGTAGGCACTGGATCGTATAAAACGAGGATATGAATCACTTTTCATCAGTTTGTAAATATGCTCCTGAAAGGGAAAGGAGGAGCTGTTACTCCTTCATGAAAGAAGACATACTTAAAATGGGAGGCAGTCATATGTTTTGGTTGTGGAATGTGTGCCAGCTAGCACTATTACGAATTGGGAGCATTATGGCATAGCAGGTTTCAGTTCTGAAGCTCAGGTTAAATTGCTCTCTATTCTTAAAGCAGAAATCTTGCCCATTTGTTATGTGTAAATGATACAACACACCTTTCTTTATAGTCCAATTTTCCACTACAAAATTATGTTCTAAGCATTTCCAACGGAGTCCTAGCTTAAAGCCCAGTTTCAAGCATCCATTACATAAATCAGTTGAGTTAAGTAACTAAATTAGGAGCTGTGGATCCTTACTTATCAGATTTTCTGAATTTGTTTCTGGAGATGCTCTTGTGACTTCATAGGCTAAGAAGAGGTACTAGGTTTTCAATTCAGCACCACCAATTAGTGCTTAGGTTAGTGAGGATATCCCCTGGCTACTCTTGAAAACATCCTTTGAGAGATGTTTAGTCTGCTCTCCAGCTAAGAATATAAAAAGGAAAATGCATATGTAAATTGAAATACAGTTCCAGGCTAATCTAATTTTAAATATATTCGTTCTTCAGAGGCATATAAACATTCGGAAACCTTTATTCAGAAAACAAATGCCAGAGGTAGTTTATTGAATTTTCATTTTGGAGCATTCTCATTTCTGAAAAAGATGAAGAATGAAACATCTATTATGCAGGACAATTGGCAAGTCTAATTCTAGTTATATGTTAGAGAAAACATTTGTAGAAAAAGCTATCAGAATCGGAAATATTTTGAAAAATATTTTTCAAAAATCCACTGGCTTGTCTTAGCTATTTGTGTGTGTTTTTTCTTTTATTCAATCTCTATTTTTTTACTATAGAAAACATGTAGCACTGCAACTGGGAAACAGGAAATAAACTGTAAAATAAATACTGTTTCTCAGCTTGGTAGTGCAAAGATTAGTGAATACAAAAAAACTGCCAACAAATCACCTTGATTGAAAATTAGGGTAAAATTAAAGCTGAAATAATTTTTTTCTGTATTAGAAATTCTAGAAGTGATTCTAAATGTCTTTCGTTGTATTTCTTAGACTAAGCAGATACATTCTGGTGTATATTCAGAACTTAGACTGGTTTATTTGGGGAACTTTTGTTCTACTCAGTTTCTACAAAAGCAGATCATGCAGCCATCAGAGACCAGAAAGTGGTGATGGGCATTAAAATGTGATTTTTATGTATGTATTTTTACTTATGTGTCACTCTCGTTTGACATGGAGTTTCATGGTTCCATATTTCAAGTCCAGAAATGCTCTTCATACATATTTAACCACAATTAAATGACCTGCTGACTGCCAGAATGATGTGTAAGTGTTCTCTTTCCCAACTGGCAGGCCACAAAGAGTGTGTTGCACAGTCTGTGAAGCTCCTAAAGTTTCAAGTGAGAACACAGCAGATGCAGCCTGCCCCCTTTTCTCCGAGAAATGGGGGCTTTCCAGGTTCAAGTGTTTTGCTGAACTGGATGAAATAAGCAGAGGTCTGACAGATGGAAAAGTCCTGTTTGCATAAAGACTGAATACTCCACATGTCTCATAAATGAAGGTAAAAAAAATGAGAATAGAGATCTGGAAGTAAAATGGTGTTGAGTTTTTTTTTCACCTGTTAATAAATAAATAAATAAATAAATAGGATACTCGCAAGAAATGTCATAGTCTGTTAGTGACTCAAATGTAAAGACATATTTTTTTAAAACCTTTAATCTTGCTAGATTATTTATTTTTGTAATTTATGTCTTTGCTATACATTGCATTCCTAAATTTCCAGGGGACAGCAGATGCAAACAGAAATTGTGTGTTTGGCTTAATGCAGAGTACTTCAAAACAGTGGGTATGGTATAGGGTATAATGAAAATTTTATTATTTCTTCATAGGTTGTTGTTCTCATAATGGAAAAATAAAAAGGTGGCAGAATCATTTCCCTTCATATTTAGGGCAGAGGCATTCTCCCAAAAAGTAGAAAGCCTCAATTCAATTCCCTTCTTGCCTTTGTGGGACTTGTAGCAGCATCTCCTGACTCCCAAGATGACGACCTAATAATCAAGCTGTAGAAAATTCTGCAGGGATATGATCTCAATCTTTTCTTTTGACACCATTTCACTTTGCATTAATAATTAAATTTTCATCACTGGGCTGCTGCTGAAAATGGAGTATGATACCAGTTCTGCTACTTTTACTGTGAATCCAATTCTTTTCTATTGCTTTTCTCAAAAGTCTACAAAGATTAAATATTAAGGTATAAGTCACAGGAAGTGCCACTTTTTCTTCACTATATGCTTTGCTCTATTTGAAGTCTGCTTGATGACTATACCAGGCACAGAAGTTTGATGAAGAAATTAATATGCCACACAAGAGAAAGAATATTACCCATTTGCATTGCCAGACTGGCATTTTAGGAAACAGGACATTATTGTTTAATTCCCAAATATATCTCATTTTTTTAAATATAGATTTCACTAGCCAATATTCTATTTCAAATGTCCCTAAACAGGATTATAAACTGACCTGAGCATCTTCAAATGTGTATCTTCCAGGGTCCTTCACATTCTGAGTGGTTTTGTCATAACTTTTTGAATCTAGATTGATAGCGCTGGGTGCACCTGGAGCAAGAAATTCTTGCCAGATTTCTTGGACGCGAGCAGGAACTTCACGGATAGGCCTCTTCTTCAGATCTTCTACTGCTAACCAGAACCTATGGCACAATACAGCATCTTGACTTCCAATCCAGGGTAATCATTAATGAAGCACTCATATTCTTCCTTGCTCTTAAAAAAGGAAATTAAGTAACAAAAACTTTCCTCTAAAACATGCTAAAGTAAGAAAAAAAATGTGATTTTATGTCTGGATAAGCATTCTGATATGCTGTCTCAAGGCAATCAATCCACCTTAGGAAGGAATTATTAGAATATTCTTCATTACTTATGTATGGGTGACTTGCTTACAGGACGTTTTCCATTTAACTGGAAATAAACCAACACTTCATCTCAGCTGAACCACAAGGGCTTATATTGCTTACACACTGACTGCTTTTTGACATTCCTTCAAAAACTAATAATTTATATTCTTGCTATCAATATGAATCTCTGAGTCCTACTAAATTCTAAACTGTGCGACTGTAATTTTGTTACCCACCAATCATGCATAAACTGGAAAGGCATTTGTTTTGTTCTTTATAATTTAATTTTTCCAGCATTGCATTTCTATGCAAAGTTTTGCTAAAAATGGTGAATGGAAATACACATTCTCTCTTCTGTTGCTGCGCAAACCAACATTGGGCAACCACGTAAACTGCAGGCCAGTTCATTGTATCCTTCTCATTCAGTCTGGAGAAGACTCACTAAAAACTTCTTGAGCACTTTGTGATCATAGCTAAATATCTATAAGCTTTGATAATCAAATTAGATGTTAGCAGAAAAATTCTCATTGTTACGTCGGTCAGGCACTGGAGTAGGGAATTGCCCAGGAAGGTGGTAGAGTCACCACCCTGGAAGTGCTTAAGAGGCTAGGGGTTACAGCAGAGTGGCAGGTTAATAGTTGGACTTGGTGATCTTAGAGGTCTCCTTCAACCTTGATGATTCTATGAATCACTTTTCCTTTGCTATTATGATTGCTTCATCATTATTTCTTCTATGGGTGTTCAGATTCTCTCAATGCACAAAATAATTCTAAGTTCAGTTAGGATCCCATGCTTAGACGTGGTGCAGACCACTTAGCTCTCCCCTAAACCCAAGAGCTCAACTAAAGTCTGACTTTGTTAAATATGCAATACGTACCATCGCAAGTTTCCATTATTGTTCTGAGACAGCTGATCCTGTGAAATAAATAAGCTGAACCTTGAAGTGATACAACTGTAAAATCACTTGGATTTTACAAGGCTTACAAATAAATTGAGTGCACCTTTAAAATGTAGTTCCACCCTGCTTACACTGTGAGATCGAACTGAGCTTTCTTTGCTGAGTTCAACAAGGATGGAATAGGGGAGAGGAACAGTGAAACTGTACTCAGATTCCTCAAGAAAGCAAAATGATAGCACCCTCAGTCCAAATTCTAACATTGTAACAACTCTTAAGAGAAGATAGTGAAGCATAGCAAACCTTACAGTATTCGTGCTAAAAGCCATTCTTGACTTGAGATATTTACCTTCCAGGAAGCAATTAGTCATTCATAGTCCTGTTTTGAAACTTCTTTGTAACATAGATGAAAGGAGCCTGTGCTTATTTTTCACAAGCCATTACAGTCAGCTTCACCATACTGAGATGACTATTTTAGGTATTTCTACACCATTGAATTTCAATAGTATCTAAGCACAATCTTCCCATCTAACATTCTCCAAGAGACAGAGAAGCAGTATTGTTCCAGTTTTGGAAATATATTCATAATGTAATAATGTATGGTGGTTTCTCCAAGGTCACAAAGGGAGTCTGTGGCAATAGAAGAACTGCAGTTTCAAAAATTCTAGGTAGCATCGCTTATATATATGAACTGTAATGTGAATTTTACATAGTTCTACACAGAGCCTGGGGACATATCCTGAGAATTGGATGGCAATGCAGTAAGAATAGAGACCTCATAACTCAATTTTCAAAACTGAATAGCTCACAAACTCTAATTCAGTTCACTCTGTCAAATTTGGGCAACCTACTTTGGTTTCCTTAAGCTGCTTTCGATATTTGCATTTAAAAGCATATATCCTGCAGTGCTAACCCCTTCAAGTGCATCTTCTGGGACTGGCTGATAACTCATGTGTCTCAAAGTTAGGTAAGGAATAGAAAAATGAAAGGGAAAGATGCTCTTTGTAAACACACATTTTCTATCACCCTGCAGACATCCTGAGGATTTAGCTCAAAGATGTCAGCTCCTTGTTTGTTCCATTGTGTCACTGCCAATACTTCTGGAAGTCACCACAAATATGCCTTAGGATGCTATTTTCCTTTGCAAGTAAACTGTTTCCATATAGTAGGTTATACTCAATTATGGGGAAGTAGATGGGAGATAAATTTAAATAAATTTAGCTTCTATGCTTCCAGCATAGAACAGGCAGGTTTTATAGACACATCCTTACAGGCTGAACACCAGTTCTTTGATAAATTAATTTTATTTGACCCTTCTAACAATAGCATTCAAGGACCCTATTAAAAATGTGAGATTCTAAATATAGAAACCTCTCTAAAAGTGGGAAGAAAATGCTGATTTCTTGTGTTATGTCTAGGGTGCTTAATTCACAGCCAACACACATTTTAAGATTTTAATGTACTTACTGATCTTTTAAGAAAAGATGCCTGCTCTCCTCCCACAGAGAGCTGAATTCAAATATTCAAAGTTAGGAAATGCCAAAAATAAGGCTGCCCCCTCTTGCATTTTCAAAAATAACTTTTCCAAATATCCCATGGCAACCAATAGCACAGATGAAGTTGGAATGGAGTCTGCAAGACCTCAGCACAGAGTCTCAATCCCTGTATCCTTTTGCAGTTCTCTACCTCATGAGCTGTGACCAGAGCAAGTGAAGACTCATGTAGCAAACAGCACAGGGCCTGCAGCAATAAACAGATGCAAGAGCAGGAGAGGGAAGAGGAGGAACTGCATTTTCTGGACAATGATATACACAGACAGTGTTACTTTGTGTAAGGAGCCAAAACTCAGTCTGGCTACCCTTGGATGAAACCATATCTCCTTTTGGTGGTGATTTGCTTTAGCCATGGAGACCCTCTCTAGAAGATGCTCAGCACTGCTTGAACAGAGACATGAGTAGCTGGGTGTAAACGTTGCTGCTGTCTTCTATCGCAGCATTTGGACTGCCACACACTGGGTCACACACCAGACATATAGCTGAGTAAGAGTGTATAGTATATGGTAGTTGTACATCCAGCCACATGACGTAATAAAACACATGTTGCAAGACATCTGGGGATTATGTCCTCCAGCTGGGTTACTTTCAAATTAATGGTGGCCTGGCAGATAAATAGCACAGCTGCAACATGGCTCCTGTCCCAATAAGTGACCTAAATGTCAGGTGCAGCCAACAGCAGATCCCAGATCAAGCTAATCAGTTAAATTTAGCACATAGGAACAGAGAGTGAGATAAAGGCTGCAGTGATTCTGCTCGAACTGGGTGAGGTATAGTCAGAGAGTGGAAACAGTGAAGTGGGAATTATATGGGCTTTGCACTCAGTGTATGTCGCACAACAGGTTGGAGGACAGACCTTTCAGCATTTCATAGAATCATAGAATCATCAAGGTTGGAGATGTCTATGATTTTCAGGCAAAGAAAACAAAAACCTTTGCAAACTCAGTGAAGAAAATAACCAAATATTTTTCCAGAGGCAGAAAACACTACTCTCTGATTCCTGGAGTCCACCTTCTTCCCAAGTACAACTTCAAGTGTCAAGTCATGGTAGCGCTGAAGGACTTCAAGATAATGGCAGAGAAAACCAGTAAAGCTTATAACTAGTGCATTCCCATTTAATGTGCAGAAATGGCAACATGGGACTTGGCATTTGAGTCTGAATGAGAAATAGGTAATTTTGGCTTCCAGGATTGAATTCTGGTCAAGTTATTAGCTCTCAAAACAGGGCCTCATAATCACCAGTGTGAACATTAAACATTACCAGTGCTCATACTTTGCGGGAAAGTGTCATTACCAACACTTCTGTTCAGACTTGCAGGACAGACAGCAAGGACACGTAATCAATCTTCGTACTTCGTAATGTGGAGAACTCTCTCCTCCACCATCAGTGAAGAGAGAAATTTGCATTTAAAGTCATAAAGAGTGGTGATCAGTAATAAAGAGCAAAAAATTGAAATGAACTGGATTAAAGAGGAAACTAACCTCATGCATCATTCTCCTTCTTCCCTACTAAAAGCACTGCTATGGCATTGTTAAAACAACCGAACCACTGAAGTAAGTTAATCATAAAATGAAGCCCTATGACTGAAACAGTTCATAGGCGACACTGCAAATTTTTAGTAGGGTGTATGTGGGTTTTTATTTATTTCTTCTACAGACCATAATTGAAGCTTCTATCTCCAGTACAGAACATTTCTACAACAACTTGAATGAATGAGTCCAAAATAAACATCTTACAAAATCTCAGCTTTCAGGGGAATGGATAGAGAAGATTTATTGAGGGAAATCATCTAAATCTAGCTAACTCCCCAGTCCTTCTCTTCTTTTTCTGGACAATGCAAATGAAAATCCCTTCTCTCTGTTTGGTCACACATTATGGAAGCTAATAAATGAGGATCAAAGGAAGGGGCAAGAGGTCCAGTGGTTTTTCCTTCTGTACATCATAGAAGATATCCTGCCATGACTCTCCCTTCATTAACCTAGGAGGTTTTAGGAGTCCTAGGGCTGCCTCGGAGATCACACTCACTGCAATATTGCATAATGATTTGGACAGGCTTTCAGGTTGGCAGGCCTGAAATGATTTAGATCTCTACAGGCTGCAATTCCTACAAAATAACCACTTGGGAGCAAACGTACAGTCAGCATACAAATATTAACTTTATAAAGAATTCTTTTGCATGACAGACAAAGGAAGGATTCAGAGAGGAATACGATTTTCCACAGAGATAAAAGAAATTAGGTCTTCAGGTGCCACAATGCAGTAAGATTGATTTCACTACCTCACTCTCTTTGAAAAGTCCTTTTTTTAGTGCTCGGACAGCCTTGTGACCAAGCTCAGTACTGGATCATGCTCAAACTTTAGTCTTGTGAATTTTAAACAATGGTCACCATTTTTGTAATAGGCAGTGGGAATTTCATAAATCTATTATCCAAATCATATGTTACTTTAGCCCTGGGTTCTGAGCAGCTCACAAAGCAATTCCTCAAAAAAATCTGCAGGGTAACAAGAGATCACAAGTCATAGCCTGCATTAGGTGAATGCAGAATCCAACCTGTGTGTTAGCAAACTGCAGCCACACTGTAATGAAGTTACCACACTGGCAGAACTGCTTAGAAAGTTTTATTCTTTTGCTATGCTTTACAACGCTCCTTTAGAGAATAAAATACTATTAATCCCGATTACAGACAAAGAAAAAAGCACAGAGATACAAAGTAGGTAGGTGAAACATGGCTGCATTCCTAATCATTGCACAGTTCTTAGTTTTAACTCATGGCTCAAGTTTCTTTATCCATGCTCTGTTTCATGAGGCAGGATCTATATCCACTAACAATGAGATTAGCAGGCAGCTTAGACCCTCTCAGTCCAAATTAATAAAACAGCAACACTGAGTCTTTTAGGTACATAAAATATCTCTCTTGAATATAAATGGTGTATCTGGTAGACTTATCATTTCACATTTTTGGTATCTCTTTCACCAAAGTGAGGTAGAAGACATCTAATCTATTAATACTGAAGTTCCTGTAATATCTGCAGTCCCTGCTGTATCCTGTATACTGTGCTTGGAAGGTTGAATTCAGGGTCCCAGCTGTCTATCCAACTGTAGGTTGGACAGTGTTTGTTGTAAATTTTATTATTATTATTAGATTTGTAAAAGGACAAGAGCCAGCTACTGAGTGGAGTTTAATTTGTTGCAGTGGGAAGATGGGGGTGAAAATAAATATTTTTCTCAAGGTGCCTGTCAAAAAAAATAATTTAAAAATACCACCCCAAAAACCCAAATGGCCACTGTGGAGTTAACAGGTGAGCAAAGAAAGTGGTAGTCTTTTAAGGCTGATTCAGTGGTAATGCTTGAAACCATCAAGCTTTTAACTTCTGTTATTGAGATCTAAAACATTTTGACAGCCATACACAACAAGCTTTACAAATTCATGCTTTCTAACCCAACTTTACTGTGTGAGCTTAATGGTGGATTGATTTCACTACAGTTTAGGAATTCACAAACAAAATTCTGAGCTTGTGAGACATTTTTCCTGCAGTTAATTATCACAGAAAGCACCTCATCAGAGCAAATTTGATCCCCTGCCTGATCCTTCCCAGAGACAATCTGCAAGCTCATATTCACCATTACTCAGATACTATATTTTATAATGCCAAATATAAGAATCTAGAGGGAGAGACAGAAGAGTCGATTACATGTAAAGGAATCAGCTCTGAAAAAAATTTTTGAGGGAATTTTTCTGGATCAGTCACTTGTAGTTTGCCAGTGGTTAGTCTTGTAAATAGGATTAGATGAAAGAGTTAGGGATTATGTGGGTAACAGCCTAGTTGGCAGAGAGACAAATTAATCACAGAAAAGCACCAGAAACTGCAGCACACACTGGGCGTGATAGGTTCATGTTTGAACAGCTGCTCTGCATAACAAACTACCAGCATGGTCTTCAAATAAAACAAAAAAAATTACCTTTTCTTTTCTTGGTTTTATTCTGATTTATAAAAAATCATTTTACCAGTTGGAATTGTTAATTAAAAAAAATCTGTATCTGTCACTAATGAACTCATCAACATACATATACAGGTCAGGCCATATGGGTGATGCAAAATTAATGTTTGAATATGAACATCAGCAGCAACTTAGAGAAATCATCTCCAGTTGTTCTGCTGACAAACTTATATTTATAACAAGGAGGTCTGTGCAATTACTCAGCTTTTATAAATCAACACATAAGTGTTAAATGCCTCTTGAAGGGGCTACAAAAGTGTAATTCTGGTATGAATGGCTATGCTGCATCACTTTGGAGTGAGAAATGGCATAGGAAAAAAACAGGTTAGGATATTTCTGAGTTCTAGAATATAAATGCAAATAGGATTTTATACTGCTTATGTTATTGGTGAATGGAAAGTGATAACAGATGACATCTGACAAGAAGGTGGAATTAATAGAAAAATATGATGTCTATGCTTTTGTACTATGTACAGCTTAACTTATCTATAGAAAAGCTGCTATTAGTCCCTCTGAAGTAACTCTTACTAAAATATTACTTAGAACAGCAACAACAAAACATGCTATTAGTCAATGGATGGGCTATCATTTTTAAAAATAATCATTCTCATCACTTAAAATTAACTCTGTAAATATACTTTTAAAAATACACTTGGCACTTTATACACTAAGAACACTTTTCCATTTTGCAATTAGTGAGGAATTTGAGAGCTAGCTGTCACCCTACTTCTGTTGTGTCAGATCCACAAGTACTAGAAGCTTGGTGGACATTTTTGAAATGACCCCAGAAACCTTTAAATCCTTTATTTATTTTTAAACTTTTTTTCTTTGCATTTTACTTTTCTCATAATATTTGACTTAGTAGAAGATACTGAACAGGCTTTGAATGGGTCAATGTTTAATAAGACAGGCTGAAAGGGTCAAAAAAATCGTATCAGAAAAGGTATCAGAAAAATAAAAGCCCAATGACAAAGGATGTATCTTACAAGCTATTAAAAAAATAACTTTCATTTACCTTAAATTTTCCGAACTGAATTCTGACTCCAAGAATTTCAGGAACTGCTCTCTTCCCACAGGGTCTTTCAAAGCTTCATCCATGCCAAATCCCCATCGTTTCACCCTCTGCTGTCCTGGCTCTTTGCTACAGATGAAAAAAAACAAATGAACACAAAGTGAGCAATATTTCAGTATTCTAATACTCTGTGTTCATAATTTAGACTAAGTCCTAAAGTTCAGCCTTAGGTTTCTCACATTCTAGGTTGCTCATATCTCTGCAGTGTTCAGAGATGAGCAAACAGACTTACACATGATGAAGGTAATACTCATGCATTTACACAGAAGAATAAAGACTACCAACTAGGAATGTTATCAGATTTTAAAAGGTGTGGTATTTTCACCATACTGGAATCCTGGAAACTGGTTACTGCAGTATTTTACAAAGATTTATTATTCCATAGCACTTCTCATCTTACAAACTTGTAGAGCTGGAAAGACCAAAAGGATACAGCATTGCTCTTCTGCCTCAGTATTTTCCTGCAATACCTCTGTCTGAAATCTTCACATTTCCAGAAAAGCATGTTATGCACCCTTACCTTCAAAGAAGAAATAAAATTATATACCTTGCCTCCAGTTCCCAGAAAGTGGTGTCATCTGATATCCAAGGATTTGAGGGATCAGGGGGCACAAGAAAAGGATCATATTCCAAATACTGCTCTGTATAAGCTAATAGACTAGAAAAACAAAAGCATCAAACATTGTCATGTCAGGAGCTGTGGAAACCTGAGCAGGTTACCCCATTTAACAGGTTACCTTGCATCAACTGAATCATGGTGACCATGTGTGCACGCACTCAGAAGTCAGCTACAAGCTGAGGGTAAAGTAAGTTTGCTCAAGCCTTTTAAAAGTGGACCTCTGAAGAAGGAAGGGTGGCTCAGGTCTACCAAGAGGGCTCCTTTAGGCACTAATAAATTCAATTAAGTGACCTTTCTGTGCGCATTTGTTTTCATAAAGAAACATTTTTTCCTACTCCAATGGTTTTAATTATCAGTTCCTTTAAAATCTAAAATGCTGCATGCTACTCAGGTCATATTTATTCTATCAGCAGCTGCTATGACTCCTTTTATCCTCTCTTAAATACAATTAATATTTTTATTATCCTAATCAAATGGCAGTACTCCCGAGTTTATTGGTTTCCAAAATAAACCACTTTTTTTTTTCCCAAATTTTCTGTTATTCATGAATTGATCTGAGTCAGTTGAACACACTACAAACTTTGCTTGTATTCTGGTCATTTGCATCTCCCATGTCCTTATTCC